ATTTATATAGTAACCTGTCTGAATATATACTTTATCAAAATAAAAAGGACTTATGTTCACATACAAATACATGAACCGAATAGATAGACAGGGATGATAGTAACCAATAATAATTCTTTGAAAATGAAAAAAAATCTCCGATTATCCAATATTATATTAGAAGGGTATTATATTTTTTTTTCGTTTGAATCTAGATTGACTTATCTTTCCCTTTCGATATTTTTTATCAGAGATCATATTGTGTAGACGACTTAGCGTACCTATTGGAACTCTGATAATTTAATTTTGCTTATAAAGACGAATATGCCTATTACGTACATCGTAAATATAAGTAAAATACATAAATGTCATACAAATTAACCTATCGGCAGTATTTCCGTTTTTATAAGTGGCTTGTGTAATATATAAGCTAAATACATCTTTATCTACAAAATGCATAATTTTTGGGCAATAATACAATACATTTAATTATATAAAGGAAAAAAAGTAAATATATTTGTTTTATAGTTTGTAAACACGACAGCGCGTTTTTATTGTACGTATTCAGTTATGATATTTTGTTCGTATTATATTGTATTAATAATGCAAATGGGTTGATTTTATAATTTAATTTTTTTAGCCGAGTAGGTACAGTTAAGTAATGCAAAAATATCGAATTTACCGCGGAGATCAATTTATATTGGTTTTAAAATATAAATTATTTTTCAGAAACTATTTTTCAAAAACTTAATTACCAATAAGTATAAATAAGTAGAGTACATTTTTACTTTAAACTGAATAATTATTTTCTTCCTTTAAATTTTAATTACATTTACACGTATTACTTTTAAAATTGGAGACATACAAAAAATATAAGTTGTATAAGATTGTGATAAAGTATGATGATATTGAATAATGTGTTTGTAAAAAATATTGATTACTGATATTGACGTTATTCAGTCATTGATATATAGGTACAAATAGACGTAAATAAGAAATACTTATCAAGTGGATTTTTTAAATTATGATCTATAGTATTTTTCATTTTGAACAAATTTACATATACCTACTTTGCTCCTAGTAGAAAAGCAATTTTTACTTAAAATTATATCAGATTAGGTTTTAAATAATATGATGGCATCTTGATTTTTTTCTATTGATATGACATTGATTTAAATTAAAGGTGAATAATATATTTGGCTCGTATAAAAATCGCATCTGTAATTTTATAGTAAAAACATAATTTATTGGTTCTAGGTCAATTGTCTCACAATCATTATTGGTTCAACGGGGACAATCGATTTTTTTTTTTTTTGTGCCTGGTTATTCTGTCTATAGCTTGTACATCTATACCCGATATAGTTATCATGTTTATTTTTCTTACTAAATAAGAAAATTAGAAAATTCTTACGATAAAAGTAAATACCAAATAATTTTAATAAAGTTTAACTATACTACATCATATCAGTTATTAGGTTAAAATGAAATCAATTCTTGGTATTTTAATTTGGAAGTTGCAGTGTAAGTATTAATTTTGCTTTGGATCCTCGGTGAAGGATAGTAATGTATATCAATATGAAGTAATTTTAAACTATAGAAAAACGAAAGAAAATACGATTATGAGTAGTGCAGAGGTAAACCAATACTCACACAGATTTTTTTTAAATTGTTCACATTTCAGTATAGCTAGTTTCTTATTGAAAAAAAAAAAAGGTAATTTATCGATAGGCAAAGCTTTAGTTCGTTATATGAAATATTTAACTCCTGAAATATTGCAGTCTTACTATCAAAAAAATACCCATAAAAAATAAAATGTAAAACTAATTTATTTCTTATTTAATGTTAATTATAATTTATAATACATTTTTATCAGAATGCAGTGAAAACCTAGTTTATTTATACATTATACACCTTACGCTTAAAGCAAAAAAAAAAAAAACTCGAAAAAATTTAAAAAAGATCTTTTTAAAAAATCATTTAATACGTATGATTTTTAAATAAGTATAATTTAAGTTTACAAGGTATAAAATTATATACTTGAAATTACCGACCACTGAAAAATTGACAATTTAATCGAACTTTGAAAATTGTAGTTTCTAATCGATGTATAAAAATAACACTTACTTATAAAATAAAAATTATATTTTTAATTAATTTTTAATTAAAATAGTATAATGGAGTATTTTTGTTAATATGTAAAAGCAGCATAATAACAACGATAACGTAATTTAGTTATGCTATGAATATAGTGGTCGTTTTCGTGTATTTTTGTGGCGAACATTTTATTTCTTAAAAAAGTATCCACGCCCTTCAACATTATTTTTTTTATTACTAAGTTAAAAGTTTTAATAACTAATATTCTTATTCGTATTATCTATTCGGTAGTAAAGTATGCATTTTTTGTAGGTTAATAATTAAGTTTATGACTTATCATGCTGAATATAACTGAATAATTTATATTAAAAATTAAAACTGTATTTTTTTTTTTTATCAGTATAAAACCATTTTTTTTTTTTTTTTAGTAAAAAATTAAATATTGTGTTTTAAATTTTATAAATTAAATTAATCAGATATCATGCTATAAGATATTGGAAAGATGAAACAACTTACAAGTTCCATCATAATGTAGACTATGCCTGATAATCAAATTTGTATTTGTGTAATATTGAGGATAAAGCAATTAATTATAAACGTGAATCTGTCAATTTAGTGCTACTATATTTAATATTACAAGTATAAAAGGTTTACATTTAATGCTTAATTTATACATTATATAGATTAGCCTTATTGAAATATATTTTGATAATAGCATTTACCTAATAACGCATGCCATTATACAGTAATTAAATCATTAAATAAATTAGTGCTGATAAAGAAAACATTTTTAAAGGTACTATAATATTCTAATAACTACTTTTATTTTCTGGCTTTACATTTTTATATAAAGACCCATTGTTAAATAATCATGCGCTTGATCCATCTAACAATTAAGAGGAATCATTAAAAACGAGATTAAATCGTCATGATTACAAATGGTTTTTAATTTTTATACTATGTCAGCTAAGAGCCAATAAATGTGTATACAAGTATTATACTAATATTATGTTACTTTATAATCATATGATTTTTGTTTAATATGTATAAAATGTATAATAATTAATAATGTAATTTAGAATAATGCATTAATGCATATTAAATTTATCTCATACTAATAGAGGAATACAGTCGTGTAACATGAACACGGAATAGCACGATTAATTTATGAGTAAAATCTACATTTCACATTTAGATATTAGAGGTTTACATGATCCAAAACTACGTGTAATTGACATATTAAACTAAACACTACCCAATTTAAAATGTTTTAATTTTTCAAAATTCATTTGACTATTGCATGGTTATGTTTATAATAATGCATAAAAACATATTTATGTAGTTATAAAAATTAGAAACATAAACGAACATCAATTAACTTGCTATGTTCTAAAATTATTTGATCGAATAGAAAGTGTTTTTTAAACTTTGTAAATCTCTGTGAATAATAGCAGTTGCTGTTAAACTCATAGTTCTAGACATCCTCGTTGTAGTTCATAATATCATACGGTACACTAGTGCATTACCACGGGTTATCAACGGATTAGTTATTCAGTATGGGCAATATTATCGTTAACATAATATCATATGCATGCCTATAGTGTTGCTTTATAAGGTATGTATGAATTAATATAATACCGCATGGAACAACAATAGATTAAACTGAATACTGATTAGTGTGTAACGTAAGCAGGCTTATTGACTATTGTTTTATTCACATACCTACTCATAATATAAACAAACGTGTCATATCGTGTCATATCGATATGTCGTTATGCGCAATAAGAAAAAAAAAACAAATACATATTTCATTTTCATACATAAACGTATGGTTAGGTGTTATAGTTATTTACGAATATCCTCAAATTAATAATAAATATGTATAATATAATAATACTATGACGAAAGAAAATATTTTCATATTTTTTTTTTTTTTTGAAAAACAAAAAGGGTTCGGTAATATTAGATAGTTATATTACAATATAAATGTATAATTCTTAAAAATGTATTAACATTTTAGGTGGAGCGATTTTAATGTATTAGTTTTACGATGGTATGTGTTTTTTACGTGATTTTACCTTAGAAGCAAATCAGGATTTTCGTAAATTAAAATTTTTAAACCTGTTTACAATTTATTAAATAAATACAATATTTTTAAATATAAAATGTCAATACGTTTCTGATATTATTATTTGTATTTTGTATGTTAATAATTACCTTTGAGAAGTTAAAAATTATTTCACAACTAAACATGCTGTTTCAATTTTACACATAACTGCTCTTATATTGTATACCTAAAGTGCCGTCTTATAAAACTTTACGTCAGTATGTAAGCAATATAGAAAAAAAACAAGCGCTTGCATCTAAATTATGTATTAGAGTTTCAAGTTTTTGATGATGGATGTATTTAGATGTTCAAACACTAAAACAAAAATGTAAGCAAGCTTCTGGGTATTAGGTTTTTATAGTTGCGTAACATAATATCCGTTATGATTCGTGTTAATATGGGTTAAATGAGTGTTAAGAGATTAAAAAAAAATTATGTAATGTAGTATATAACTTGAAAAATATGTATTTATTTTTTTAATTTAAGAATATTCTTTTTTTAAATATTATTTTCAATTGATAAAAAGCATTTTTACAAACGTATTTTTAAGATTTTTAAGTTTTTGTAGGGAAAACTTAATATGTGGAATCTTATGATAAATTTTCAAGTCTTTGTTAATAATAATGGAACTATTTTATGTTTCTCGACTACTAAATAAATCGATTTTTTGTGATTTTGACAAATTTTAAACTTGAAGGTTTTTAAAAAAAATATTACGTATGCATTTTAAATTTTTCTTTGACTTATATAGAGATAACCTAAGAGTGTTCTTATACTAAATTGTTGAATTATTTGACAGGGCAATAAATTGTACATAACTTTATTTTTATTATACAGTTTATTTATTTTATTATATTAAGTTTCATGAGCTATTTTTTTATGTAATTCATGTTCGTTTTCATCTAATTCACGATGTAGTAAATTCTCATAGTAAATCCGTTGTAAAAGCTTTAAACGTTGTGTTAATTCTTTTTCTTTTTTCAATTTTTCTTTATGGTCATGATGTTTTTTGATTTCTTTTTGTTTCATTAGTAAATGTTTTTGATATTGTTTTTGTTTTGCTAATTGATGAAGTTGGTAAGCGGCTTGTTGTGCATGAATGTTCCAAAGGTGGTGCTTTATTGAATATTCGCTCTGTGGTTCAAGTCGTTTATCTTCATAGGTTCTCTGATATATATTATTCTCTTTATTATTATGTTTTACGAATTCTGGTAGTTGTGATAACCTATTTCCTTGATTCAATTGAACGTCTTGTTTCTTGTAAACATTACTGGAATTGTCAAAAGTTCCAAAGCTTATTGGTAAGGTCTGAAATACTTTATAAATATTTAAATTAATTTTATGGAACAAAATGGCAATAAGAACAATGATACAATAATTTTTACATTTTTATTTTTTAACAACCCAAATTATATTTATTTTATTAATTATAACTTTTAATTATTGTTATCTAATATATTCAATGTTCATATAATATAACGTAAAGCTTATTATTTTTTAAACTATTAAAATTATAATTTAATAAAGACTGTAATTCAATATACAAATATATAATTGTGAAACACAATTTCCATGTATATTTAAATTTTAATATGATTTACGTACATTAAAGTGTTTATTGAACGAATTAAATTTATTTCCTTTAAATATTGGAAATCTTATGAAAACGTTTATTTAATGATTTTTAACTTAAGTTGTAAATAATTTAAAAGTTAAAATTAAATAGTAATTTACGTATAATTAAATAAAAAAAAAAGAAAATAAGTTTTAACTTAATTTTATTTAAATATTTTTTTAAATTATTATATAATATTTAAGAACTACGAATGGTATTTAATTAAAATAATATTTTTATTATAAATAATAGTTTTTACTATAACAGTGAAACGGAATTTAGAAGTTTATTTATTTTTAGAAAATCATTACTTTAAAAATATCAAAAAAAATGTTCACAAAGCTTTTAAAGATACATTAGAGTGTACAAATCTCATTTTTCCTTAAGTTAAAAAAACTTAAGTGGTTAATTGTATGTTTACGTGGCACTGGCCTATTTCATACTTAATAGTTTACGAGAACGAAAAAATTATGCATTCTAAATTGTAATTAATAAACAATTAACAGTTGCTATTTTGTTAATGAATGTTTCTAGATGTTTGTGGTTACATATATATTACTAGTATTACTATCATTAAATTGGCCACATAGGATGTATCTTATATCTAAGTATCTAGCATACTAGCTTGCTTATGACCTCTGGTGACACTTCTATAGTTGTATCGACGTAACGTTTCTCCACCGAATAGTTACGATATATTTCGTGATTCTCCAACCATCGTCTGATAATTAATCGTTTGTAACCAAGTTAAATTATGTCTAAGAATATTAGACATAACTTGATTTTCGATGTAAGTAAATCTGTTCAATTTGATTAATGCGTTTCGTTTCATTTGATACGGTACACAGTCTTAATCATGTCTATAATTTTTTGCCGTGTCATAGCTATAAACTCCCCTTTTTAATAGATTTAAATATAATTTTCTAATAATATACATATTAAATACAATATAATGTTAATGTAGTATACAAAATATTAATTAACTTTCAATAAGTTAATAATAGTTTATAATGATTCGATTAAGTATATTTTTTTAGAATAATATTATAATACTTAGTTTTGGAGAAATAATATTTTTTTAAATTTTAATTTCCAAAAAATAAATAAATATTGATTTAAATTGATTAGTGGGAATTCAAAATTATTCTCAAATACTTGCGATTTGAATATTGATAATGATAGATGTCTTGTATCACAAATTTTGAATTTATATTCAATGGAATGAATTTTTTTATAAAATGTGATTAAATATTTTACAATAAAAAAGTTGAGTTCTTGTTTAAAAATATTAGTTTGTATCTTCCCAAGACATTCTTTAGGTAGAACAAAAGAGTTCAAGTACTTGAATAATGAATATATGTTCTTTAAGTATATTTAAAAGACCTTCAGGCTAAGTGTCAGATTCCTATTACTGAGTGAATTCTTAAAGTCAAATCATCAAAGACAAGTAATCTCTTTTAATTTTTAAGTTTTTTACTCTCTTCACATATTCTTATGCCTTATTATGACATTTTGTACAGGTTATATATTTCTTTTTCTAAAAAGTGTGTTTAAAATGTCCAAAGATCAGATTTTGAATAAATACATTATTAAAAGAAAAAAATGGGAGTAAGTATTTTTAGTGAATTATTCTAAATATTTAATCATATTAGAAGTGACTTCTTTAGATTTATCATGTTTACAAAAAGTAATAATTGCTCAAAAATAAAAAATGCTTAATATAATTTCACAATTTAATATCCCCAATACTCAATAAACATTTACAATAAAGTAAATGATTATAACATTTATCTGAAATCGTTTTTATTTTATTATGATATATAAGTAGATGGTCCACAATTAATTGAAATTTATTTAAAATTCAAAACTAACGTTTTATTTTTAGCATCCTTTATCATGTCACAAATCAAACCATCAAATCCCATATGCATTATCTGTATAAGTACTGTCTTTTATAGCTAGTCACTTGTATTGCCACTAACATGGACAGTTCAATTTTACATCTCTTTGATATTTTAATTAAAAAGTTAGTTTCATGAAGAAGAAACTATAACAGTAAAGCTATCCAACCATTTCAAAAAAAAATATTCTAGTGACGTGATCTTTACACTGACAATAAAATATATTTTATTGTACCTTCATACTTAATTAAAACTAAAAATTACTTTTATCATTCACCTCATATACTTATCGTAAATGTTGATGATGTATATATTGTGTATATGTTATGAATAATAATGATACAAGTATAAATTTGGAGTTTTTTAAGTGATTTCATTGGACACCTTTTTCCAACATGTCATCATATTAAAAATTTATAACTAGATAACTTTTACTTACTGCATTTATATACCCACGAATACAGATTATATATATATTTTTTATATAAACACATGAAATAAAAAAATATTTTTATAAATTTAACTTTTTAATATTAGCATAAATATTTAATTCATCGAAAATAATAATAAGAAATTTCATATAGACGTTTGACTATTTTAGTGACATCAATAAATTAATAATAAATAAAAATAAAATAAATTTATTGTAATTATTTTTATTTTATACAATTAATCAATATATTATGAAAAATTGTGTATGAATCTTTCACCTACTTACACGTAATGAAAATTAAAAAATTAAATTATATTTTTTACTATATTTTGGATCCAAAAATATAATAATTTTAAACAAAAAATATTTACCATTATTTTTTTGAATTGAATAATAGTTTGGAATGTATGGTCTTCCAAAATACATATTGATTGAATATCTAAAATAAAAAGAAAAAAATCTAATGTAAATCTTCAAAATAATTAAACTTGCAAACTTACACTATGTTATGTGAAAATAAACTTATTAATAATATGTACTTCGAAATCATCTCCACTATTGGAAAGATAAATATTAATTAATTTTTAAAATTATTTTTTCCATTGATTTACAATAAATGTTTATTTTAAGTATATAGTATATACATATAGAATTATTATTAGTATTATGTTAAATATATCGCCTACCATAAAACTCAAATGCATTAAGATAATTAAGACTACAAGTGTTAAAAACTGCAAGTGACAATTTACCAATGTGTTCTATTCATATTCCAAAACGTGTTGCGCATAATTAAATAATATATAGCTACCATTACAAGTATATTTTTGGTTAGGAACAGTATTACGTTAATTAGTTTTGTATTTCGTTTTTTAAAATTTAAATACATATTAATTTTTTGTAGGCACGAAAAAAATAATATTATACATATTTACTAAAACAATAATATTATAGTAATGAATAATGAGTAAAAAGTTATATCTAACGAGTAATAATAGTAATCATTTGTAGTAACATTGACCAGTTTAATTAAATCTAGATATTTAAAAACATAAATTCAACATTTCAATTGTATAATTAAATATAAAACTTATAGTTTATAAATATTAGGTAGGAGTAAGGAGTTGGGATACATTATAAAAATGATAAAATTAACTAAACGAACCTAATACATGCTGTAAATTAATAATAATAATAATGTTTATATTAAAATATAAACTTACAAATGATTAAGAATATTGATAGTATAATTAATTAACATTAAATTAAATTCTATACAGTATAGTTTTTAATAACAATTAACAAAAAATATTAATTGATTGTCATCTAGAAGATTAATTTTGTTTCAATAAAATATTAAATTAATTATTTTTTTGCATTAATTAAATTTAAATCATGTAGATAAATATAAAATAATTTTAGTTCATAAAACAAAATTTTTACTCTCTTAGGAGTATTTATTATGAAAAAATGCTTGTCATGTCATAAGCAAAATAATGATGAACGTTTTCTTTCAACTATCTGCAATATACGTAAAGCAGATATATAAAAGTCTACAAAGTTAAAAAGCTTTGTTTCACAACAAGCTAAAAAATGTACTTTCATCACCAAAGCTCTAGTAATTGAAGATGGCTTCATATGTAATTTTCTTCTTGAAAAAAAAAAAAAAATAATAATAAATAACATATTATATAAAAATGTTAAACAGATTTTTATTCTACATTACAATATTATCATTGCTAAAGTTTGTTGTAAATGCAATATTATTTAAATTCAATAGCTTAAATTATCAAAATTATACCACATTTAGTAATATTTAATAAATCAAGTTATTGAAATTATATAAGCTGATTTATTTCAAGTTATAATACAAGAAAAAAAAATGCAACAACAGAGGATTCGATTTCCACGCCACCGCCTTAAATCGTCCACTTCAAGAAAGTATTTAAAACATAATTTTAAAACGTTTATGCCAAGGTTGAATAACTACCGTGAATAATATAAAGTATTATTACATTTAAAAACAATTTTATACGTTGTACAGTAAGAAGAATCATAGTGAATAAGAAAAATATTTTAATAAATTAAGCTTTAAGAAAAATTAACTAAGTAAGATCAATAATTTGTAAGTTATATCTAAGTTGTTGGATTCAAAAAGGAATAATTTTCAGATCCAACAATTTTACATGTATATATGGTAGATAACGTGAATGAAATAAAAATGTTTGTTGATTAATTATTTAAATTTTTATAGTTAAAAGGACTTAAAGGTATAGACTGAGGTAAAATCCAATGAAATTACTTTTTTTGTGCTAGTAGTCTTAGTTTTATAGATATTATCTTAAAATATTATTAAAAAATGTATTTATAATTAAAAATGATTACATTATTTATTTTTGTTACAAAATTAAAACAATGAATAATTTTAATAATACGAGTAATATAACTGGAATTATTTGATGAGATATTGGAATACTATAACATAGTACATTAGCGAGAATATTTGATTAGTAAGGAATAACATTTTAAAACTGAACCAAGTCTTATGAAATAAACTCAAAAGCTCGATTATTAAATGGAATAGGTATTATAAATGTTCATATACTTAATATATGTTATTATAAATAATACTCATTGTATATAATATATACACTCATATTTAAATTTTTTTTTTTATTGTAATTACATGCTTGGCGTCTATTGGAAATTACAAACATTATTATGCACTATTTATAATTATGTTACTATATACTTAAGTTTGAAAATGTATAAGTTTTAGTAAGAAACATAATAAAATACATATTGGTAATATTTTCGTTTATAGTAATTAATTGAACCTGTATATACATCGTAGTAATCATTTATTATTTAATTCGAATTGTGTACGATTTTAAATTATTTTATTATATTAGATAATTATTTTTGTTTCTAGTGTTTTTATCATATATTACTTCAGAATAATGAATATGAACTAGAGTAGTTGTCAGTAAAATTTCTTAACTTATAATACTAAATTGTTTTTTATTAATTAAAATTTGATAGTGATTGTTAGTAATAATATTTAAAACTATAATATATTACATAATTGTATGTCATTTTTATAAAGAATAAAATTATCGGTTTTTTATTGCCATGTGGCATATTGACATTGTAAGGATGATCGTTATTTTGTTCAAATGAGTTAGTACTTAGTTATACCTCGTGAGTTGAGACTCAAAAAGTAATATAGTTGTAATAACAGTTGTATATATAACAATATTTTTCTCGTTATTATGTCGTTTTAAATTTTTGATGTGGAATTAAAGAAAAGGACCTTAATACAGGTATTGATTCTAAGTAAAATGGTAATCCTGTGAATTTCATTGTTTTTTTTTTCTTTTAAATTATTGCTTTATTTGTAATATACTAACGGATAGCTTCATTAAATATTAAATCGTCTTTCATGTTTATAATATTAATTTATTTCATTTAAATTGTTATTGAATATTTTCGTATAAATGGAAGATATCTTCATTTAAATGAATAATTAAAAAGGAAAAAGGAATACTTGAAAAGTTTAATAAATGAAGATACATGTGATTATAAGATATCATAAATCAAGTCTAGTATACTTTAAAATTCAGATTTGATTTTGATAAATTAATTTTTTGATTTTCTTAACAGTTTATTGAAACAACAAATTCGAAATCAATATCACAAAGTATTTACAAAAAATAAACTGCCGCGTGACTTGTGGTAAAAAAAGTGAGACTATAATGACTAAAATAGGTTTCTGTATGCTGTTTTAAATTTCATATTCGCGGTGTTTCATTAAATTAAACCTGAAATGATTTATGTGTAATGTATATCTTATTGTGTGTAAGCAGTGCATTTTGAGTTAATAATTTTCAAATATTGTTTGCATAAAAATTTTAAATCTATATTTATAAATATAAAAAAAAAAAAAAAATGTATTGAAAGTGTGATATTTAACATACCATTATATCATAAAAATTGTAAGGTTTCAATTCAATATTAATGAGATTTTTTTTTAGATTATTGTATACGAAAATATTCCCATCAAGTTAGGTCATCTAATTAATAGTATTTTTTAAAATACTAACAATTTTCTTTTTAATTTTATAAACAAATCAAAGTTTTATTAGGTAGTATGAATAATATAGGTACTGAAATCGTATATTATTTGATTAGTTTATTTAATATTTTGTGATTTTAAGTACATTCATTATTATATTTGTTATATTTGTGTATAATTTTTTTTTTTTTACACATATAATTTATTTCTTTACAAACGTTTTTTTTTTATATTTTATATTTAATTGGTTAAATTATTCTTATTGTATTTTGACTATAGTTTAAAAATAGTATCTTATTTAACTTATTGATTTACGTGGTTTTCTATTCGGTTTTTGCGGTACTTTAATTTTTGGTTTCATTCCTTTAATTTGTTTTATTTTTTTTTCTTCATTATTTTGCAATTTTAATTCTTCTTCTCTGAGTGATTTAAAATCATTTTCTTTTCTTTTTCTTTCTTTTTGTTCTTCTTCTAGAATTTTTTGTTCAGCTTCTTTTTTTTTCTTTTCTTCTTCAATTTCATTAAGTAATTGATGTTCTATTTCTTTTTGATTATTTTCTTCTTCCTCCAATTGTCTTATAAGTTCTTCGTGTTTTTGGATTTCCATATCATATTCACGTTGTATTCTTTGTTCTTCTAAAATTGCTCTATGCTGTTCTTCTGCTTGTTGTATTTGTTGTTGCAACAATTCATGTTCTAAACTTTTTTGTTTTTCTACTTGAGGTGGTTGAACATAAGGCAATGGAACTGGAGATTGGACAAAATTGTTTAAAGCTGGATTTAAAAAAAAAAAACATTATTAAACATTATTAAAATTGGATTGAAGTAATAATTAATAATTTCAATTTTTACGGTAAATTTAAAATTAATTTTCATTTAATTAATATAATTATAAAGGTAAAAAAATACCACTGTATTGATTATAAGGTTGATATCTATTTTGCATGCTCATGAGTTGAAGTAATGAAATCATTCTAGCGTACGTTGACATCAATAATAGGGATAATTGTTGTTGGTTAATGGGATTAAACGGAAAAAAAGGTTGGAATCCTGGCATCATTGGTTGTTGTGGAATTGGATAAAAATTTTGATTTCCTGCCATCGATGGAAGTGGCATGTTAGAAGAATAAAATTGATCTTCTCGTGTCATAGATGGCACTTGTCCAGAAACAAAGTGAGGATCTGCTAAAATAAATAATTAAGTTTGTATCAAAAAAAAAATTAAAAAATTAAAAAATAAATATTAATTGTATTTAAGATGGTATTCTTATTTATGTTCATTTATAGTTGTGTAGTGATATTAAAATTACCATGATTAAAATTTGAATAACATGACTTTGCAAATCTAGAAAAAAATTATACTAAATTAAAATTTGTTAATAATACATCATTAATTGTTGTAAATATATTTGTTAAGTATCTAATTAATTTTTAATATGCACATTGCACAATAAAAAAAAATACAGTTTTTTTTTTTAATAACTAGATTAAAGGGATATATAATTTTATAATTTTACAAAATCTAGTACATAACTTGTTAGCGAGGTTTAATACTTAAATTTGTTGAAAATTAGTTTCATAAACATCCGTTAGTATTTTAATAAATTATAATTCACTTAAACGCAAAAATGTCGTTAAAAAATCAATGTTTTATGGCAAACAATGTTAATAAAATATGTTTATTGAACAACCAAAATTAGTGGTTCTATAAAATTAAATTTTAATGAACAAATAAGATAAAAAACAAAAGTAGAATGAAAACATTTACTTTTTCAAAATATGTACCTTATTTATTATTATACGTAGGTATTATCGTTAGTAAACAAAACACATAATGGCTCAAAACCTGTGTATTAACAAAATATAATAATATAGATATCTATCATATTACTTGACGAAAGTTTATAATAATGTTTTACAAAGGTATTGTGTTTTTCTTAGAATGATAAAAATTTAAAAATACTTACACAATAGTCAAACCGACAGTTAACACAACTGAAGTTAAACACATTATTATTAATTTTAAATAAATACGTGCTTTCAAACAGTACCAAAACCATATATAATATATGCTATGTCACTTTTAATGTGATGTACTTTGTATACTATGATGAGCATTATATTTACGTAGGTAAATAATATACTCGTATGCCAAAATATTGAGTTCACAAATGTTAGTAATTAACGTTCACAAATAAAAAGTATTATTCTGTCATTATTTTAAATATTTATTTTTGTTGTACTACTATATTATAAGTATACAATATATAACACATAAGTGCTAGATTTAAAAAAAAAAAAACTGGGTAAAGTGACTAAACTGTTTTATAGATGAAATGGAAATTTTAGGCATGTGACCGTTTTAGCGTAAATGTTTTTAAGCTAATTGTTCTTTTCATCTTACAAACAACTGAAAAAAACTTTAGTGGATTGGATCTTTGTGTTAAACAGGTATTTTATTTATTTGAAACATATCCATTTATAATCTGTATAATGTACAATAATTTCAATACATACATTTTTAAAAGATAAGGAATCAGGATGAAATTACCCTATGAAAGTACCCCAATCACCTAAAATATCTTATATTGAAATATAATAACAATAAAATTTAGATTTTTCTATTTATGTTAAAATTATAATTGAAATTAATTCGTTTTCTTTAACTATATTAGTAAATAGTTATTGATGTGTTGAATGTATTTTAGTCCTTGTAAAATTATTTAAGGGTAATTTTGTCGGAAGAATAAATCGAAATGGATCTGCTAGATTTCCATCATAAATACATTTGTAATTTGAATGAATAAGTTTTACAATAATGATGTACCTACGTCCTACATACTACATATAACAAACAATCTTGTAGATACCAAAATTAAATGTTGAAATGAGAGTAGTCTATCCTAAATTTTAGTGCTCATGGACATTCTTAACTAACTTAAAAAAAATATAATCGGGAAAGAACACATATTTATTTTAATCGGCATCAAGAAAAAGTTCTTAAAAAAAAAAATAAAATATTGAAATTATACTTCTTCAAAAATAATTTTAATCAGATCAAATATTATTAAAAATTATGTAAGAACCAGATTTATTAAATTCTAACATATTTGAAAGAAACAGCATATTATAATATTTATTTAAAACATTAATTTTAAATTTATTGTAATACTTCTATAATATTTTTAGTATTTATATAGATTTTTAATAGTATTTTTTTGATAAGTTGTAATTTTATATTTAATTAAAAATGATTTTTAAAAAATAATAAAAAAAAAAATCAACTTAGTCGTTTACGACGGGACGGACTCACTTAAATAACTTTATTCCAGAACAGTCAAAATATCCTAGATCATTCTATAAAAGATTTTGAGTATAGGTGCCTCGTAATTAAGTATAGTTTACAGTAATGAATACGTTAAATTGAAATTCGATAATAAATCATTGCATCATAAAAACGATTCTGAGCTGAAGTAGTGTATCAGCTTTAAAATCTAACGGAATCTTTAAGTATATTAATACATATAACTTATTTATTTTCCTTTTAGTCATATAGTAGACTGAAGTATTTTTAATCAAAAATATAACAAGTTTCTATGGTTATCTAATATATTCAAATCACATAATAATTTAGGGGAAGAATAACCATTTTTTTTTATAATAATGTAAATATTATTTAAAAAGATTCAAAATATTTTGAAAGTTATATCATATTTAGAAAAAATATAATAAAACATATACATATTTTATATTTTGGTTTACATTGAAAAAATTAAATCGATTTTATTTTTACTTCTCTCGAAGTTGAAGATTAAATCACTTTTTTACGACTCTAAAAGGCAATGACAAATAAACAAAATGAATAATTAAAAAAACACATATAATTGTTTAACATGTAATAAATTCATTGCTTTACTTAACATACATATACAATTTTATAATTTAAGACTTAAGAAAAAAATAATATATTATTATAAAATTAGATAGTAGGTTTCTATCTTTATTAATAAATTGTAATTAGGTGTCCATAGAGTAAAAAATTATGATTTTTTAGTGTAACGTAGACGTTTTTAACAAAAAAATGTATGTAGTTTTTAAAAAGTTTGTATAAGTAAATATATAAAGTTTTTAATATATTATATCTTAGATTATGGGAGCTAGTTCTCAATAATTATTTTGTTTATTTTATTTGTCAATTGAATTTTATATATGGAAACGCATGATGAAATAATGGGACTATATGTTAATTTGAAACAATATTACCGAAGGATCTAGAATGCTATCTACAAGAAACCTGAAAAAAATGAAATTATCTTCATGTCATCTATCAGTTAAAATACTCAAATCAAGTAGGTTTATAATTGAAAAGAAATGTTATATAATGATTAATATTAAATATTAATGCTGAAGAAAAAGTCTGAAATTAAAATATTTTTTTTAATAATTTACTATTTAATGAAATTAATGAGTATATGTAAAATACGATATTGCAATAATGACTACTATAATAACATTTCAATGGACGTGCACAAGGTTGGTAAAATAATTTTACCTCTTAAATTGAATCTGTAAAATGCTATTTTATTTGTACCTATCTGTAATATTAATTCCCTATTATATTCGTTTTAAATTATCACAAATTGTATTCATCAACATGTATTTTTAAATAAAAAAATCATATCAATGTATTTAAATGTATAGTTTGAAAAAGTAGATCGAAAATGAAAATAATTATCAAATTATTATTGTAATACAAATAAATATCTGACTAAATAAATTAATTATATAACTAATATATCTACATTTAAAATATCTTATCTTTAACACTTAATTAATGTAGTATATTTGTTATACACTTTGAGATTGATTAATTTACCTAAATATTATATCAATTAAATGGCAAAGGTAGATATCGCACTTTTCCTGATATTGAAGTAGTAATCAAATTAAGATCAAGGAATTTAAATGTATTATACACAATAAAAGGTAAAATATTTGGAATGTTGAAAAATAAATTATTTTACTTTATATATCATATTTTATTTATTTAAATAAGTAACGCTAAGTATCAAAAATACCTTCAAGTTTCTAAGTAAATTAAAAAATAATAAATATTAAAGGAGAGAAAATGTTATATTTAACTATAATACCTATAAACTATATTTCTATAAATATAAAATACAAAATTTTCAACCATTATTAAATTTATTTAAAGTGTTTTAGCGAAATTGCAAGCTACACAGAACTTATGGAAGTATATATATATATTATAATATTAAAATGTATTTTTATGTTCTATTTTAATAAGTTTAAAACCTTCGCATGTTACATGTCATATCGGCGTTTATAGTTTTTTTTTTTTTTTTAAGGCATTCCTAGCTGGAAAGCTATTTAAGCCTATTGATAATATACATACAATTTTCTTTTTACATAAGTGCGATAATAGTGCTAATATTAAGTTGAAGATATAATTAAATAATAAATATTAAATAAGATAAACTATTAGTAATAAGTATAGGTTAAAACTAGAATTTTTCTGGCTTGATGTATACGATGTGGCAGTGATTGGTGGTAGGTCATTTAATTCGGTCGTGGGGTCTTCCTCTCTTGAGACGGCGAATTTTTGGTGGTCTTTCGACTAAGTTGTAGTGGGCGGCGCCATTTGATTTCGTAAGAGAATGAAAGAATCTATTTGCTAGATGATTTATGTGCTCGTCAATAGTAGGGATATTCAAGTCCTTATGCAGGGCTTTGTTGCGTACGAACCAGGGTGCATCAGTTATTATGCGGAGTATTTTGTTTTGAAAAATTTGAATTTTATTTAAGTGGCTATTAGCACAACTGCTCCATATAGGGCTTGCGTATAATATTAAAGGTCTCAGTACTTGCTTATATATAATAAGTGAGCATTTTTTACTAATAGTTGATTTTCTATTTAGTATTGGGTAAAGAACCCCTAGTCGTTGGTATGCTTGCTGAAGTTAAGCCGATATGTGAGGCCACCAGTTTAGTTTCTTATCGAGGATAACGCCTAAGTATTTTACCGACGATTTCCAACCTATTGGCTCGTTGTCAAACTTTACTGGTTGAGGTGTTTGTGTTCTGCGTAGGGAAAAAAATACCGCTTGGCTTTTTGATGGGTTTATGATAATTTTCCATTTTAGGCACCATAATGAAATTTTATTGAGATGATTTTGGAGTGCGGTGGTAATTTTCTGAGTATCCGAAGAATTGCAGTAGATGGTGGTATCGTCAGCAAATAGGGCGATGTTTGTGTCGATAGTTTGTGGAATATCTAAGATGTAAAAATTAAATAGAATAGGTCCTAGTTTGGATCCCTGAGGAACTCCAGCTTGGATAGGTCTGCAAGATGATTGCGTTTCGTTTACTCTGACAACAAAGCATCTATCGTTGAGAAAGGATTTTAGTGTGTGCAGAATATATATTTTTGGTATGTTTACGCATTTTAATTTATAGAAAAGACCATCGTGCCAAACACGATCGAACGCTTTAGCGATGTCCAAAAAAACTGCACCTGTGTGATTTTTATTTTCGAAACCATTACTGATTGTTTCAGTGAGACGGAGTAGTTGCTGTGATGTAGAATGGTGTGATTTAAATCCAAATTGGAATTTTGGTATCGCTTCGATTGAGTTAAGGTATTCTAAGAGACGACTTTGTATAGATTTTTCGAAAAGTTTGGAGAATGCCGTCAATAAGCTTATCGGTCTATAATTTTCTGGGTTTGACTTGTCCTTACCTGGTTTATTTAACACAATTATTATTGCCGTTTTCCAGCTAAGTGGAAAGTAACCAATATTGAGTAGGCCGTTTATAGTTTTAAATAATAGCAACTATTTGTAACTATTTTTAAGCAACTATATGTGTATTTAGTTGTCTTTAGAGTATTCATAACACACGGCTTATAATTAAACAGATAAATGTAAATTAACATTTAGTATAAAATACGAAAATTAGATAATGATATTAAAGTATTTTTTAAGTATTTAAAATTTTAAAATACCTACACGATACTGAACATGAAAATTTAAATATAAATTTGTAATTTGTTATTATGAAATTAATAATATTAAAGAAAACAGCGTAGGGACATT